AACAGGCTAATCCTCCGCCTAGCGGCGCCGGCACACCGGGTTCTAGTCCCGGTCGGGGCGCCGGATTCTGTCCCGGTTGCCCCTCTCCCAGGCCAGCTCTCTGCTGTGGCCAGGGAGTGCAGTGGAGGATGGCCCAAGTGCTTGGGCCCTGCACCCCATGGGAGACCAGGATAAGTTCCTGGCTCCTGCCATCGGATCAGCGCGGTGCGCCGGCCGCGGCAGCCATTGGAGGGTGAACCAACTGGCAAAGGAAGACCTTTCTCTCTCTCTCTCACTGTCCACTCTGTCAAAAAAAAAAAACAACAACAACAACAAAAAACCACCTCAAATAATCCTGACTCTAAAAGATATCCAAATAATTACAGTGACACATGTAAAAGAGAAAAGTGTTCATCTGAAGAGAACGAGCAGTATTTTTTAAAGGGAATGAAAAGCCTCAGAGGTGAATCTCACTCCTGAAACCAAAAAGCCAAAGAACATATTTGAAACTGCTTCTGGCTCCAGGAATACAGCAGCTCTGAAACAGCAACAAAATAGAATGAGCTAGCAATTTTTTGGCAATTATTATTTTTTTAAAATATTTATTTATTTATTTGAAAGGCAGAGAAAGACAGGGACAGACAGAGTTGCCATCTAGTTGTTCACTCCCCAAATGGCCACACTGCCAACACTGGGCCAGCCAGGAGCTAGGAACTTCCCCCAGATCTTCCACATGGGTGACAAGTGCCCAAGCACTTGAGCCATCACCCACTGCTTTCCCAGGTGCCTTAGCAGGGAGTTGGACTGGAGGCAGAGCAGCTGGAATACAAACCAGTGCTCATTGGAGACAGTGGCACTGCAGGCGACGGCTTAACTCAGAATGCTACAATCGTCACCCCTTGGGCAATTATTTGCAATTTACACCTTCTGAAGCTCCCTCAGTGTCAGGCAGGTGTGAGAAGACTGATTCTGAGTGGATGGGCACCCTTTCACTAATGTTTCCAGAGAAAAGTTCCTCCACAGACCTGTTTTACACACTGTGTTTTTCTAACTTTCACTAGGAAGGAAAATCTAACTGCTATTCAACAAAAATGGCTATTTGAAAGTAGGACGCCAAGATGAATAACTCCATTCATTCAACTCTGGCCTGAGTTAATTTAAGAAAAAGAAAAAAAATTTAAAGATTTATTTATTTGAAAGGCAAAATAACAAAGAGAAACAGAAAAACAGAGAGAGAGAAACAGTGAAGAACAAGATCTACCCACTGGTTCCTTCCCCCAGGGGCTGCAATGGTGGCCAGGGCTGTGCCAGGTCAAAGCCAGGAGCCAGGAACTCCATCCAGGTCTCCCAGGTGGGTTGCAGGAATCAAGCACTTGGGCCATCTTTAGCTGCTTTCCCAGGCCATTAGCAGGGAGCTTGATGGGAAGCAGAATAGTCAGACTCCACTGGCTAGCACTTGAAAATGGGATGGCAACATGGCAAGTGCTGGCTTAACCTACTGTACCACAACATCAGTCCCACAGGAGAAATTCTTTTAGAACTTTATGTTCAGGCCGGCGCCGCGGCTCAATAGGCTAATCCTCCGCCTTGCGGCACCAGCACACCAGGTTCTAGTCCCAGTCTGGGTGCCGGACTCTGTCCCAGTTGCTCCTCTTCCAGGCCAGCTCTCTGCTGCGGCCAGGGAGTGCAGTGGAGGATGGCCCAAGTGCTTGGGCACCTGCACCCACATGGGTGCAGAAGCACCTGACTCCTGGCTTCAGATCAGTGCGGTGCGCCGGCCGCAGCGCACTGGCTGCAGTGGCCATTGGGCAGTGAACCAACGGAAAAGGAAGACCTTTCTGTCTGTCTCTCTCTCACTGTCCACTCTGCCTGTCAAAACAAACAAACAAAACACAACTTTATGTTCAGGGCCGGCACTGTGTAGAGGTGGGTAAAGCCACCACCTGCAGTGCCAGCATCCCTTATGGGCACTGGTTCGAGTCCCAGATGCTCCACCTCCAATCCAGCTCTCTGCTATGGCCTGGGAAAGCAGCAGCAGATGGCTCACGTCCTTGGTCCCCTGCACCCACGTGGGAGACCCAGAAGAAGCTCCTGGTTCCTGGTTTCAGATCAGCGCAGCTCCAGCCGTTGTGGCCAACTGGGGAATGAACCAGCAGATGGAAGACCCCTCTCTGGCTCATCCTCCATTGCTTTTCTCAGGCACATGAGCAGGGAGCCGCATCTCAAGTAGAGCACCTGGGGCTCAAACCAGCGCCCCTATGGGTTGCCGGATGGTGCCAAGGGGTTGGCTTTACCTACTATGCCACAACACTGGCCCCAGGACTTAATTCTTTAAAGGGATTGTTACATGCCAAACAGAACTTTTCTCTGAAGACTTCTCTACTATTCACAGAGGAATTTTTGAATTCCAGTGATGATACAAACTTCCAGGGGGGGGAAAAGACTGATAACAAAATTACATTTGACATTATCAGTTTTTTCCATTTGAATAATGTCAAAGATGTCTGCCATACACGCAGCATTTAAAACACATTATGGGGGCTGGTGCTGTGGCACAGCAGGTAAAGCCACCACCAGCTGTGCCGGCATCCCATTTGGGCGCAGGTTCAAGTCCAGGCTGCTCTACTTCCAATCCAGCTCTCTGCTATGGCCTGGGAAAGCAGCAGCAGATGGCCCAAGTTCTTAAGGACCCCTGCACCCATGTAGGAGACCTGGAGGAAGCTCCTGGCTTCCTGATCGACACAGCTCTGGCTGTTGTAGCCAACTGGGGAGTGAACCAGCGGACGGAAGACTCTCACTCTCTCTCTCAATTTCAAACAAATAAACCTTTAAAAAAATAAAAAAAACCACATTATGACCTTTTATTTAGATTTGTCCCCAAAATAAGAATGGCTTAACATTAGAAATTCATTATTTTAGGGCCAGTGCTGTGGCATAGCAGGTTAAAGCCCTGGCCTGAAGCGCCGACATCCCATATGGTTGCTAGTTCGAGTCCCAGCTGCTCCTATTCCGATCCAGCTCTCTGCTATGGCCTAGGAAAGCAGTAGAGGATGGCCCAAGTCCTTGGGTCCCTGCACCCGCGTGGGGGACACAAAAGAAGCTCCTGGCTCCTGCCTTCGGATTGGCGCAGCTCTGGCTGTTGCGACCATTTGGGGAGTGAACCAGCAGATGGAAAACCTCTCTCTCTGTCTCTACCTTTCTCTGTAACTGTCTTTCAAATAAATAAAAATAAAAGAAATTAATTATTTTAACAGTAACAGGGGATTAGAAAAAAATTAGAAAATATACCAACTATTAAAAAAAAGAAAATACACAAAAAGCAGTAAATTTCCTCTATTCCAGCAACCATCATTCAGGTAAAACACAGAGTCTCATTCAAAACAAAACTAGAAATCATAGCGCAATAGTGTAAGAGCCACATTACAAAGAAAAGCAAAAAACTATGAAATTACTACTAAAGCACAGAAAACCTGGATAACACACATAAATGGAGTAGAGTTTTAAAGTACCACCTCTCCCCCAAATATATGTTGAACACATTTCAAGTCAAAATTACGATACGAGTTATTACTGGAACCTGACAGACTGTAAAATCATCCAGAACACGTGTTTGAGAACACATTAAAAAAGGAACTGGGGCCGGCGCCGCGGCTCACTAGGCTAATCCTCGCGCCGGCCGCGGCGGCCATTGGAGGGTGAACCAACGTCAAAGGAAGACCTTTCTCTCTGTCTCTCTCTCACTCTCCACTCTGCCTGTCAAAAAAAAAAAAAAAAAAAAAAAAAAAAAAAAAAAAGGAACTGGAGAGTCTTACTACAGACAGTGAATCTAACAATGTTCAAATATAACAAATAAATAAGTACACGGATCAGCAGAATTCAGGGGAATTAAAAGTAGAGTTTGCTAGTGAGAAAGAGTCTCAAGAATTCATGACTGCACTCAGCAAAAAGGCACAGCACACCTGACACTGTCTCCTACGCCTGTGGGAGGAAGAGAGTAACACCTGATCTCCAGACAGCACTGTTCACACACGATACACAATCATCGGAGCACTGGGAAAAGTGCATCAGCTCAGGGTGAAAAACCTTCCAAAGCCAGAGAGATCAAGAGATAGAGAAGATGCAAAGCATTCACACAGCAAGAGATCCACAAGCACCATGGCCAAAGATGACTGCACCTACTGAAAGGGGCCCAAAGGCCTCAGGAGTGGTTCGGGAAAACTGATGCAGCCCCTTTACAGATTAGCATAACAACTGTAAACATCAGCACCCAAGAGCTGCTTCTCAGGCATTCACAGAGGAGTGCTGAAGGCTGCTACTCTTTTTGTTTGTAATGGTCAAAGTTCACCGGTCCCCTAAATCCTGATCCATCCCCACAACAGGAACGCTATGCAGTCATGGAAAAGAAGATGCAGAGCAAAGCCGTGCTGTGAGCAAACATGACCGGTGTCTTCCCCGAGGAGGTGTGACTACAAGGAGATGTCTCCAGGGCTAGTCTTATTTTTCTTTTACAATATGCATATATAGGCCACCTAGCGGCGCCGGCACACCAGGTTCTAGTCCTGGTCAGGGCGCCAGATTCTTTCCCGGTTGCCCCTCTTCCAGGCAGGCTCTCTGCTGTGGCCAGGGAGTGCAGTGGAGGATGGCCCAAGTGCTTGGGCCCTGCACCCCATGGGAGACCAGGAGAAGCACCTGGCTCCTGCCTTCAGATCAGCGCGGTGCGCCGGCCGCAGCGCGCCAGCCGTGGCAGCCATTGGAAGGTAAGCCAAAGGCAAAGGAAGACCTTTCTCTCTGTCTCTCTCTCATTATCCACTCCGCCTGTCAAAAATAAATAAATAAATAAATAAATAAATAAATACATATATAGTCCAAAAAGGAAAGAAGGAAAAATGATGAAAATCTAAAAGTCTGTATACAATCACAAGGAAAAAAAATGGACAACCTTTTAATTTCTTACTGATCCAGGAAAATTAGGCCTGAAATTATAAACATTCACTCTTTTACTGATGAAAGATCCCACTTACATTAGCTGGTTGCTCTCAACAGGAACGTCTGTGTCTTCACTGAGTCCAATCTATCACGCCTGTAGGTCGAACCAACACTCAATCCATGAATTAATAATAATGAGGCAGAAAGAATTTTCCTCCTCACATTGCCAAGGAAACCTCTCATCCACAATTGAAACACAGGATGTGTTTTAAAATATCCCCCAACTACTGGGAGATTAAGTCCATTCGAATAACCTTTGTCAGACTGGAGACAGCTAGGTTTAGTTATCTCCTCAAAGCCAAAAAACAACAAGACGAAGAAAAAAAGAGTTCATTTAAGGATGAACTTGAGGTTAAAAGTTATATATATATATAAAAAAATCCATCTTCCATAGCCGAACAATGTAATTTTAAAAAGAAAAAAAAAAGAAAAAAAAAAAAAGAAAAAGCACACCAAAATTCAATAAGATCCAATTTCTGGTCTTCAAGATTTCTTCACCTATTAAGAAAAAAACAGAAACCTTCCCCCATCTTTATTATCTGTATAATAAAAGCATAATTGTATGTAAAAATAAAGTGTTTTATGTATAAAATATACATATACATATACACTAACTGGCTTAAACACACACATACATATACACAAAGGTGTAGAAATAAAACATCTGGGTAAGTTTCCCCTTTTAAAATACACTGTAAAAGCCTTTGGATTTGGGTTCATTGTAAAAATAGTGAACTTACATCAAAGCACCATGAAGTTAACATTACACTAAATTTTGCACAGCCCACAAAATTAAGAAGGGAAACCCCTTTCTATAGTTTGAGGTGTATAATATAGATGCATGTTTTATCATCACCATCAGGGAGTGTTTAACCAAAAAAGATAGAAACGCAGAGTTACAGAGTAACTGCAGAGCAGTGCAGCGAGCTGTGGGAGGCAGAGCGGCGGCAGAGCCATTCCGACCCGGCCCGCGCTGTCAGAGCAGCGCCTACGGGGAGCTTCGCTTCTCACAGCAGCACCAGAGTCGCCGGCAGGACAGTCAATACCGGCCCTGCAAAGGCTTGCTCATGCGGTCTAGTTCCAAATTCTTTACTAGTGACGGCCAAGGCTGAAGACTTTGTTATTATCCATTTGTTCTGCTCAGTAAAAGGGTAAACTTTTGGGAGTTGAAATTTCATTTCACAATGGTACAGTTACCATTTAAGAAATTTTAAAAAGACAAAATTAAAAAAAAAAAAAAACTTTCTTGATACATAAAATGAGTTCTAAATTTTTGAAAACAGCCCAGTAACAAAGCAATTTTGATTTTTACGTAATAAATACTACATAATTTCTAGGCTAAATCTTGCCAAATACTATCCAAGACAAAACTAAAATCAAAACTTAAAAAAAGTGGACACCTTTTACTCACACTTAATACTAGTCAATTTTCCAGGATTTTTTTGGGCAGGGAATATCCCCAAATCTAAAATGAAAAAAAGGAAAAATTGGGATCTTACATTAGTTATTCAGTCTGAAACTTCTAATAGACTTTCACTAAAATTTCCTGGCCTCCCACTCAATCACTGAAACCTATTTCCAGGGTGGAAAGGAATCTTAAAGATCACTGCGATCGACTCACTCGCTTCATCAATGATTCCTGACGGAGAACACTGACTGCTTATTTTTAGTTAAGAATACAGCATTATGGATTATTAGGTATGTTCTTTAAAAGAGCACCTGAAGTTAGAGAAACATTCTTTGGGAAATGCATAATGGGTTTGTCAAAGTATGCTCGGAGGACTTTCATTTCAATTCCCATTCAATTCTTACAAGCTTCCTCTTATTTACCCATAAAGTATACAACGCACCTGTAAAATCTTATTGTTTTTATACTACTTTATAAAGGTTAAAAAAGGCAATTCCAGGACTAAACGTAATTTTTTCCTAACTGGTTTCTATTGCTTCCGTTTCCCATAGATCCCATCCTAAACATAGAGGCTAACTATCACATTTGGTAATTTGAAATCATAAAGCTGACCAGTATGAGGAGGTAATTGTAAATTTCCAATCATAAAACAATTTGCGGATTTTCTTTTGGCCAAGTTGTAAGCACCAGGGTTTTAATGAAAGAGAAAAATGGAGGGGGGCGGGGAAAGGAAATATCATCTTAGTAGCCTGTTTTTTTCCCTCTCGTTTCATTGGTTTCTGAATAATCAAACTTCCCATACTGGGGGAAATTTTTACTTAAAACCAATTACTAGTAGATCAACCCACCAACCAGAAACAGTCTAAGGCTTTTCAATGCTGCACTATATTTTTTTTTAGTTAAAAAAATATATTTTCTCTCTCAGTCAATATAAAAATTTCAAGTGCTAGCTACACTGAGCTACAACTGTGAAGTCTTTCTGAGGTTAACTTTATCAATATCATATTGCCTCTGAGGAATTTTCAGCCCCTTCTGTGTTTTCAGGTTTCCCCAGATTTGTTTTATAAAGAGTGATTAGTATGACTATATGTAACAACTATAACAATAAGGATATGGTAACATAGCAAAAAGTTCCCATTTTAAATGGAGAAAGGAAAAAAATTAAGGTAGTATTTCTTTTTCAGTCCTTTGAACAGCTTCATTCTCAGGATCCCAACTCAGAACCAATGTAGAATAATCATAGTTAACATTTTTCAAGTTCATTTTCAGAAACATCAGCTGTTCTACATTGTCGAAGTCCAGGCTCATGATCTGCTTTGGATGAAAGTGGCTATTGGTAGTAAAGATACATTCAGACTGCCAGCTACACATGGGGCAGCTCAGATACTGAACCGCAACTTGGGTCAACGCTGGCCAGAGGCTCACCTTCCCCTGCCAGTACACCAAGGGGTCATCGCCTCCCGCGGGCTCTGAGTACTCCTCCTGGAAGTACTCGTCCACTACTGCTGCAGCACAAGGGAACAGGGAGCTTCTGCTTCCAGCCGCAGCACCGCCTGCAGCTGCGCTCTCGAGGGACACTGAACTGGAGGCGCCTTCTTTCAGAGCGGAGCTAAATGAATCGGCCCCTACTGCAGCTAAGGGCCCAGAGCCTCCTGAAGAGGCAACCTGGCACACCTCTGGTGACGATGCCATGTAATTACAAACCTCTTCCGCAAGGATTTGTTTGTAGGTTTCTAAATCAGCACCTTGAGGGAAAAAGTCTTCCAAACTGTTTTTAAAGCAAGGATCTAACAAAGCAGCCAGGATACAGGGCTTGGATCTGAGCATGGCACTCAGCAGGGTGTCGGTCTCGAGTTTCAGAGATAAACTGTCCACCAGATTGAGGGCCTGAGTGATGCCTCTGAGCTGAAACTCCTCTCTGAGTCTCTGTAAGGAAAGCAGCAGGTGGCGGATCAGGGGCAGCACCTGATTCAGTCCTGTGGTCCTCACGCTCACTTTCTGCGTGGCCTCCTCAAAAGGCTTCAGAATATCACAGACGTAGGTCATCAGAGTCCACTGCAGGGAAGTCAGCACAACCCCACTGGCTCTCCCAAGGCTGTGGTGCACTGAGTAGCAATGCTCCAAGAGCCACTTTAACATATGGAAGGTGGAAATCCAATGGCCAGCTTCATCCTGCTTCAGGTTCTTCCATGGAAGTTGGTGATCATTTTGGAACTCCTGCAGTATCTGACGGGCCTTGACGGAATGGCTAAAATGATGACATGTTTTCCTAGCTGCCACTAACATATTCTCAATGCTTTTGTGCTCACAGAAAAAGTCCTGAATGACTATATTCAAGCAATGCAGGAAGCACGGCACATGGGTAAAACCGCCATCTCTGATTGCATGTACCACACTTGAGGAATTGTCAGAAACAATGAAGCTAGGGATAAGGAAATTAGGTGAAAGCCACAGACCGATCTGGTCATTCAATTCTTGTAAAATGTTGGTTATCAAACAGTCTTTGGCTAAACCTGTAACACAAAGCACTGCCCACTTCCTAAAACTGGGCATCCTGTCATCATGGGAAGAGGCAGTTTCCAAGGAGACCCAGTGTACAGTCACGATGAAGTAGTCAGTGGATGGGTCGTGGGTCCATATGTCAACAGTCAGGTGGATCTTTTGGCTCTGAACATTCTCCAGAGTCAAGAAAATTTTTTCTCTGACACAGTCGTACAACTGAGGCACAGCCTTAGTGAAAAAGTAAGTCTCTGACGGCAGTCTGTAGTCTGGGGCCACAACCTGCAGGAAGCGCTGGAAGGCCGGGCTCGAGAAGTAGCTGTAGGGGTGCATGTCCTCCACGATCATCTGAATGACGGCCTGACTGATCTGACTGGAGCCTGGGTTCTCACAACGCGCGGTCTGCTTCTCCGGCACGGGCTGCAGACTGCCCTGCTCGACGGCAGGAACAGGACTCTCGGGCCTATTCTCAACCTCCAACACGGGAGGTTCGTCTGAATCAGAGTCACTGAGGTCCTCGGCTGTGAGCTCCTGGCTGCCGGTGGACTTCTCTCCGTGCACAGCATCACTCAAGAGATCATTGCTTTCAGTCTCTGCCTCGTCTGAGCCGTTGCCAACAGCTCCACTGTCTTTGTTGGCAACAGCCCAGTGGATGGGGTGCGTGGCCTGCAGGTGTCTCTGAAGGGTTGAGGTTCCCAAGTGGGAGCCTGGCCTGCCCCGGCTCACACTCCTCTTACAAATATTACACACAGCTCTGGAAATGTGCTGAGGATCGGTGTAAAAAAAATTCCAAACTGCAGATGTCTTGGCTCGGGTTCCAGGAATCAAGGCATGCTTGACAATGTTACTTTTGATGAGAAATCTCCCTCTTTCTGCCCTCAGGGCATCAGACGCTGATTTATCACGTTTCTTACCCATCCTAGTATCATCTAATGGGTCGGTGGGAATATATTCAAAGCTTCCATTGCTTCCAGGAGAAGAGGGAGACAGAGATACATCCAAGCTGAAGTCCTCCTCCCCACTAGTGACTCCAAATTTGTTGGCCCTGGTCCAGTGCGGCGAATGCCGCGCCTGCAGGTGCCGCTGGAGCGTGGACGTGCCGAGATGGCTGCCTGGCTTGCCCCTGCTGACGCTCTTCTCACAGAGGTTGCAGATGGCTCGCCAGGTGTACTGGGGGTCCACGTGGAAGAAGTGCCACACGATGGAGGTCTTCGCTCTGGTGCTGGGTAGATAAATCTGTTTCTCTATGTTGCTCTCGAAAAGCCCCTCCTCATCCTGCTCAGGGGCACTGGGAGCCAACAAGGCAGGGGTGTCTGCAACAGGCCTCCCCGAGCCCAGGTCCTTACTGAACTTCTTAGCAAGAAGCAGCTTTTTTCGGCGCCTCTTCCCTTTGATCCGCAGCCCCTTCTTTCTCTTCTTTTTAGCAGGCAGTTTTGCCTCTCTGTCCACTGCCTCTGCCACCATCTTTCCGTCTACCACGTCATCTTCATCGGTGTTAGAATGAACAGGAACGCACCCCAGAATCCCAGCACCCCCGAAGGTGCTGCACCTTCTGCCAGGAGAGAGGGAGGAGACCGGCACACTGAGAGCACACACACTCATCCTCTCCACGCCAGGCTCGGCTCGCGGGTCTACCACTCCGGCTGGCGTGCAGGGCCTGTCCTCCGGCTTCTACGGCGGTCAGATTCCCTGCGGACCAATGACTTCCAAGCCAGCTTACTTGTGCAGGAAAACTGAGGGCAATGGAGAACATTCCCACACACTTCCTTAAAGGGCTCTAAGATCCCTTCTAACTTTCTGAGCTCTGAATTCAAATCGTTCAGTGTTGTCATGCTCCAGAAATCAGAGCTGAAGTCCACTCTCCCACAGGCACAGAGCTGGTGGCAGCAGCTAGAAGCCAGGTCTCCCAAATCCCAGGCTCGTGTTCCTTCTGCTTCATCAAGAACTCTGTCTGAAATGCCTTCGGCTTTCAAGACACGTGTTTTTATGATGCCTCGCCATAGCAAGCAACATCGACTTTCCCTTAACTCTGCAATTAATTATTTTCAGCAAATTTCATTTAAACAAAAACATAGTGCATCATTCAGCATTCATCAGAGGACTGAGATTTGCCAATGCAACCCCCAAAGTCAATTCTGGAAAGCTAAATCAGACTCCACATACTGGTCATTAACAGCAAATGCGCGTTCAGCTCTTTGGGCTCTAACTAAAAAGTAACACAATTTTTAAAAGTGCGGATAGCTGGAAAAAACGCTGTGATAGAAAAGCCAGGTAGCAAGGTGCATTTCTGACTCCCTGTTTGTACCTCTGGGGCGCAGCATCACAGCTCACCACCGGCCGGGGCTCCTGCACTCCTGCTGGGTGGCTCCCTCCCCGCCCAAGGCCTACGCACGTTCACCCTAGAAAGCATCGCTACCCCCTAGCCCCACCGCCTCCTCCTCCAGCCCAGAGCCAAGGCCTGGAAGCTGTCAAGCACAGAGGCCTGCCCGCTAAGAATCCGCACCGCTTATGGGAGCCTAGGGGCGCTCCTCAGCACGGTCCCAGCGACCCCTCGGGGAGACCGGCAGTGTCCCTGCAGCTCCGGACTCCGATGCTGCGGGCGGGGGCGGGAGCGTGCGAGCGTGGGGAATGGGGGTAGGATACCGGAATGCGGTCGGTGGCTTTCTGTGTGTGGAGTTTGAGAAAACCTCCAAAGTGCTGGGGCCCTGGAGAGGAAGGAGAGGAGGTAAATTCAGCTCCCGGCACCCGGCCTGACGGAGGCGGGGAGGCAGGAAGCTCGCCGGTGTCAGCTCACCCCCCCGGAGCCGCGGGAGCCGGCCAGCGGGGCTGCTCCCGGGTGCCCGAGCCGCCGACACCGGATGTGGGGGAGGGGAGGCGGCCGCTCGGGACCGGAGCAGGCGCCGCAGGGAGGGTGGGGGCGGGGAGACGGAGAAGCGAGCGGGGGGAGACGGAGAAGCGAGCGGGAGCCCGGGGCTCCCCGTGCGGGCCGCGGCCGGGGGATGCGGGAGGGTCGTCCCGGCGGGGCTGAAGGACCCCCGCTCTGACTCCCCCGGCTAGGCCGCGACCCAGGGGCGAGGGGAGGCCGCTGCCACTCCCCTCGCCCTCTCCCCCACCTCCCCGGCCCCGAGCCTCCCGGGAACGAAAAAACGGGTCTAGTTACCAGAGAACAGAAACTTTACCGAACCGATGACACTATCCCCGACTCCTGCTCGCTGCCACGTCTTTCTTCTTTCTTAAGCGCTGCCGCCCGCCGTCCGCCCAGCAGCAAAACCAGCAGAAATCCAAGACTGCCAGCGTCAAAGATGGCGCCCGGCTACAGACTCGACTCTAAGGCCCGGCTAGTGCAAGTGCCAGCGCGACGCCGCGCGCGGGGATCCTGGGAAATGTAGTTCCTCTGTGAGGCCGGAGGCCTAAGATGGCTTCCTGGGTCACAGAGTCACGTGAGGGGGCGGGGCGAGGCGGCCGTGCCCGCGCCCGGAGTGCACGTCGGGAAGTCGCTGGGCTCCTGGAGTCGGTTTTTGGCGCAGTTCGGGTTTTGTTTTTCTTCTCACATCAGCTAAAGCAGGGAGCTTCCAGAGCCGTGTGGACGCGCGTCTTAGTCTCACGAAAGTGTGCTGCAGGAACGAACCGTCTACACCGTGGCGCGTTTATTTGGAGCAGTGCAGTTGGGCCCTGGGGGAATTTAGTTCTGAAGAGCGGGTTTGTCTTGCTCATTAAGACGTCCATGAGGACGGGGAGGTGTGAAAGGCAAACCTCCCCTTCGCTGTTAAGTCACCCCGTGGTTTCCCATTTGAGGGATTTGTACTTTATTTTTTTTCCTAATTCTAAAAGTGACACACAGGCGGCTTTTAAAACATTTAAATAATGCAAAAGTACCTAGAGCGGAAAGCTAGTCTCCAGTCCTCTCTTCCCCGAGACACAGCCCTCTCTGCGATGGGTCCTAAGTTTTTTATTTTTTTATTTTTTTGACAGGCAGAGTGGACAGTGAGAGAGAGAGACAGAGAGAAAGGTCTTCCTTTGCCGTTGGTTCACCCTCCAATGGCCGCCACAGCCGGCGCGCTGCGGCCGGCGCACCGCGCTGATCCGATGGCAGGAGCCAGGAGCCAGGTGCTTTTCCTGGTCTCCCATGGGGTGCAGGGCCCAAGCACCTGGGCCATCCTCCACTGCACTCCCTGGCCACAGCAGAGGGCTGGCCTGGAAGAGGGGCAACCGGGACAGAATCCGGCGCCCCGACCGGGACTAGAACCCGGGGTGCCGGCGCCGCTAGGCGGAGGATTAGCCTAGTGAGCCGCGGCGCCGGCCAGGTCCTAAGTTTTAAAAGGCGAACACACTTGGCTAGCTTTCACGGATGTCACAGGAGCCCAAGCCCCCGGCCGGGGGCTCCGCAGACCCGGCTTGCGCGGACCAAGGACAGGCAGGTGGGAGCCCAGGCACCTGTTTCCAACGCGGTCGGCCCTCGGCGGCGCTGGGTGCGGGGCCAGGCAGCGCCCCACGTGGACCTTTCTCTCCTTGTAGCTGAGAAGCCGCATCGGAACCCCGGCGGCCTCCGTGCCCTGCAGGACAGAGCTCTGTGATTGCCATGTCAACCACACCAACAAGCAGGTTCCTGGTAACCGGTTTCCATGCGGGCCGAGCCCCGGAGGTTATAAAGGGCTCTCAGAACCTTCTCCCAGGGCAGAAGGGCCCTGCCTATTTATAGTTCAGAGCTGCATCACATTTCATCAGATCTAATCTGTCCTGGATTTCGTAAGGTACACTCAACTCGCAGACGTCTAAGGGCAGAGAAAACACACGCCTGCCAGTTAACCCCCCCCCCCCCCAGGCCATTGACTGATGGGAGCCCTGCAGCGTAGCATGAGTGAGCAAGACCAGGCTCAAACCCCGCATCGGCCACATCCCTCATGTCTGGCTCCACTCCACACGCTGGAAGGCTCCTCACGCGGTGTTTCACCAGTCCCTTGTTGGTGGAAATCATTGTATGGGGGAAAGAAAGAAAAATAATAGGGTCATGGGGACATTGCGAAGGCGGACGTTCAAGGCCTGGGGCTGTTCAAAGAGGGAGAAGGAGTTGGGCAGCACCGGCGAGTCCAGGCAGGAGGCACACGCGTAGCACTCGGGGCGGAGGCCGCCCAGCCACTGTGTGTTTCAAGATGTAAAGTCTCCCCACCAAGGGCACTTTTTTTTTTTTTTTTTTTAAGATTTACTCATTCAGTTGAAAGAGAGAAGGAGAGGCAGAGAGAGATCTCCCATCTGCTGGATCTCCCATCTGCTGGTTCACTCCCCAAACGGGTGTTATGACCAGAGCTGGGCCAGTCTAAAGCCAGGAGCCAGGAGCTTCATCCCGGTCTCCCATGTGGGTGCAGGGGCCCAAGCAGTGGATTGGAAGTGGAGCAGCTGGGACTCGAACCAGTGCCCATAAGAGATGCCTGTGCTGCAGGCGGCGGCTTAGCCTGCTGCACCACAGTGCAGGCCGCAATGTTGCTTTTAAGTTTAAGATTTATTTTTATTTATTTGAAAGGCAGAGTTACAGAGAGAGGGTGGGGCAGATAGAGAAATCTTCCATCAGCTGGTTCACTCCCTCAGGTGACCACAACAAAGCCCGGAGCCTGAAACTCCATCAGTCTCTCATGTGGATGGCAGGGGCCCAAGCCCTTGGACCATCTTCTGCTGCTTTCCCAGGCACATTCGCAGGGAGCTGGATTGGAAACAGAGCAGCCAGGACTGGAACCGGTGCCAATGCTGAGGGAGGCTCAACCCTATGGCAATACTTTTGTAATGTAGGCTATAAGAGAGTGTGAAAAGATAATCCCATCTTTCTTCTAATGTGTTTAATAAGTTTATCAATGATAAGTTAGAGGAGTTTCTTTCAACGTCACAAATGCAAATGATGAGATTGTTGCAAATCTGGGAAAACTTCTATGTGGTTCCTTACATGAATAAGCCTGAAGGCTTTGTTGAATTAGGAGGGGATTATTTCTTAGATGATCGACCAAGAGAGAACTACTGTGGGCAGCCACAGGTAGTGGCTCCCTTTGTTTACACTTAAACATATGAATGGAGACTTCCCGGCACAGACAATTAGGCTAGGGGAGATTCCGGGAAGAGGCAGGGAGAACCTAAACCTTTCACAAGAGATGATACAGATAATCAGTCACACCTGTAACCTGCATTTATCACCTCAGTGTTTTATTGTACCCTTGTAATCAATAATTAAGAACCTTATTGGGAACTCTTTGTAACCTTAAGAGCCTTTTTGATATGTAAATCTTTTGTGCTCCTTCTTGTAAACAACTGGTCATGTTTAAATACTACTGGATTTATTCAATAAACGAGCCTTGATCAGGACTTGTCTTGGCTCCATTCTTTGCGTCCTTGTCCCCGCATTCCCACTCTGTTTCAGGAAGACCCACTTCATTGTGCCGCAGGCCGGCACAAACTACCATTATTACTGAGTGGGTTAGTTGTGCCTCGCTGTAGAACCAATCGACCCTCCTGTCGCTCCCCCTCTTCGTGGAGGAACGACACTAAACCCTGCCTAGGTTTCCTATCCGAGTCACGGCACCATTATGTCGCTCCCCCTCTTCGTGGAGGAGCCACACAGGACCCTGCACTGTTCTTTTGTCTGCTCGGTCCTTCCTGGGTTTGCTGCTGGTTCTTCCCGGGTTGGCTGCCGATCCTTCCACCTCGGTGGAAGGGCGGTTCCCCCTGCCACTTTCCCCACTTCCGCGGGGGAGCGGCACACCGCCGGCCGGCTCTCTCGGGGGCTGCTCAGATGTCATCCGGATGTTCCTTCAGATGTTCCTGGTGCATGTTGTCTCTCTCCTCCTTTATAGTCCTCTTCTACCAATCCCAACTCTGCTACCCACACGCCGAGTACGCTGCTCTCCTCCAATCAGGAGCAGGATCAGCTCCTGCAGCTCAGTCAATCAAATTGGCGAGAGGCAGCTGCGTAGAAGCTGTTTACTCCCTTCTCAGCGCCATATTGTGGGAGAGCAGATGCATGGAATAAGTCTTAATTCCAGTAACTTAGTCTAGTCCGAGTTGCTCCCCACACCCTCCAATGCAGTAGCTTAAAGTGACATTCATTGGCTCACCTGGTGAGCCGGGAACTCCGAACAGCGAGGCTGTGTGCAGTCAGGTTGTCGGCTGGGTGTGTGTCCCAGGAAGGACTGGCCGGGTTGCAGGGGCCATTTCCAAGCTGCTAACAGGAGACCTCGTGCTTCCCCCAGAGTAAGTGAAGAGAAAGAAGAGACGGAGAGGCCCCAAGACGGAAGCTGGGGGCCGTTGTGCCTCTCACGACCCGGCCTGGGAAATGGCCAGCAGAGCCGCAGGGCCACTGACGGGGCGGGGCCCACACAGGGCACTGGGGGCTGGTGTCCCTACCAGGTGTGAGTCATTGCTCAATGCTTCACCCGAAGAACTCCGCGGGCTTCGGGCCCAGTGCATATGAAACCTGGCCTCTGCTCCACCTCGTCCGGTCCATCCGAGTGCCGCAGGGCAGGTTGATGGCGGCCTACAAGTGTGGGTGGCCCAGTGGGGGAGTAGCTGCGTACATTCTACATCTGCGTGCCGAGCACTAATGTAACTGCAGAAAGTGACTGTAAGCCCTGATGGACCAAGGACATAAGCTGCAGCCATTCTCCCTCATTGCCCAAAAGAGATAAACTCTGGAATGTATTCCTTGCCCTTGAAACTCAATTGGGTCTCACACCCTATGGCCTTCATACCCCACCCTGCATTGTGTTCCAGGTTCCCAAGCCCCCACCCAGTTCCTGGAATTCCCCTCCCAGCTGCCCCCTACCCCTGCTCCCAGCCCTAACTCTCCTTAAAAAGGCCTGGTGGTCAGAGCCTTCTGCCACGTGCTCCATCGTGTACACACAGGCAGATGGTCACCCACCTCTGCAGATTTATTTTCTCTGAATAAATTCAGTCTGGCTGTAAATTCATGTACTGCCTCCTCTCTGTTCTGCGACTCTTTTCCTAACATTTTGGTGCCCCGTGTGAGGAGGCACAAATCTGCAGCCTTTTTCCTAACAAGCCCCCATGCGAACATTCCAGAATCAGCTTACTGGCGCTCAGGCTCCTCTAAGCTAGGTCCCCAATGCCCAATAAGAGAAGCTATTGGCGCATTCAAGTGAGGAGGAAAAGGACCCTTAATCTTTGCCATTAAAATCTTGCTTTTGCAAAAAAAAAAAAAAAAAAAAAAAAAATTAGGACTGACACTTGGCAGTGCCAGCATCCCATATGGACGCCAGTTCGAGTCCTCGTTGCTCTACTACTGGTCCAGCTCTCTACTATGGCCCGGGAAAGCAGAAGGAGGCCCAAGTGCTTGGGCCCCTGCACCCATGTGCGAGACCTGGAAGAAGCTCTTGGCTCCTGGCTTCAGATTGGTTCAGCTCCAGCCATTGTTGCCATTTGGGGAGTGAACCAGCAGAAGGAAGACCTTTCTCTCTCTCTCTCTCTCTGCCTCTGCCTCTGCCTCTCTGTAACTTTGCCTTTCAAATAAATAAATCTTTTTTTTAAAGATATTTTAAAAAAAATTTAAGCATTTCTTTATTTGAAGGCAAAGCAACAGAGAGTGAAGGAGATCTTCAATCTGCTGGTGCGTTCCCCAGGTGCCCAAAACAGCTAGGGCTAGCCAGACTGAAGCCAGGAGGCAGGAACTTCACCCAGGGAGGAGGTGGCCCCCATGTGGGCAGCAGGGACTCAAGTCCTTGAGCCCTCGTCTTCTGCCCCCCCTGAGTGTGCATTAGCAGGAAGCTGGATTGGGAACGGAGGTGGGACTGGATCCCAGGCAGCCCAATATGGACTACTGGTGTCCCAGCGACAGCTTAACCTGCCGCACTACAACGCCTGCCCCTGCTTCTGCAAATTGTAGAATGACCACCCTGCTAGGGTCCTGCCCAGGGCCTGGAACGTCCATAGATGCATAGATGTCCTCATGGCTTCTCCCCAGAAAGCTGCAACAGCCAGGGCTGGGCCAGGCTTCACACCCAGACCCTGCAACTCCAAGCCGCTGCTCACTCTTGACCCCACTCATCACGCTCTGTCTGTGAGCTCCCCTTGCTCCAATTAAAGGACAAAAGTCGGGACCGGCGCCGTGGCTCACTTGGTTAATCCTCCACGTGCATTGCCGGTATCCCATAGGGGTGCCAGATTCTAGTCCCGGTTGCCCCTCTTCCAGTCCAGCTCTCTGCTGTGCCCATGAGGGCAGTGGAGGATGGCCCAAGTGCTTGGGCCCCTGCACCCGCATAGGAGACCAGGAGGAAGCACCTGGCTCCTGGCTTCGGATCGGCTCAGCGCCCAACAGAAGGAAGACCTTTCTCTCTGTCTCTCTGTCTCTCTGTCTCTCTCTGTCTC